ACATATATTAAGATACAGTATACAACAATTGGACTTCGACATATTTTTTCTCAGTTCTTTTTAACTGTTGATAATGTGCTTGTTAATTTTTTGATATTGCTTATATTATTATTGCAATGATTTCAAATTTCGCAATCTTTTACTTATGAAGAACAAAGAGAATACACAATATCTGATGTATGTTTTTACTTGTAAGTTAAACAATATAGCAATGTGTAAAGCTAAAATACTGATTTTTTTGTTTATTGTAGAATTTATGTCTTGATATTATAGATAATAATTTTATAGAGAATATAATTAATGAGTTACAAACAACATTAAAGATTATTTTAAATAACAGTAACATATCAAGTATTATTGAAATATGAAAAATTTATAGAATAGGAAGGCTTTCATATAAAGAAAATTTGGTAGCTCTCTTTAATAACAAAACTCATATATGCACTTGTATGAAAATGATTACCAAAAAAATTATTTGTCATCACTTTTGGCATGTTATGCTTTATTTTAGTGCAGTGAGATTTCATATTAGTATTATTTTAATTAGATAGTACAAAGATAATATTCTTTTAAAGTTAGATCAATTACTTAAAAATTCACTATCTCTTATAACAGTAAAGTCATCTATGGATACTACAATTGAAGTAAACTTAAATCTTCAAATTTTAAGAAATTTTTAAAATTCTAACTACTATGCAAATATTCAGCAAGTTACTTTTCAAAAAAATAAATTTGGAGTCATATTTTCAATAGCTAAAATAGAAATTAACATTGCTTTAAAAACTAAAAGTAATAAAGAATTAGTTCAATTACTAAAGGGCTTTATTTTAGCTAAACAAAATGTTGGTAATAATAATTCAAGAATAGAAAACAATAAAATTCAAAATAATGATAGTATTACTACTTTACAATAACATTTAATTGATCAAACAAATGACCTACATGTCACAAGAATTCAAGATGCTCTGAGTAAAAAAAGAATTAAAAGCATAATATAAATGTCAAAAAAGAAAGATATAGCACAAAATATTACAAGCCAAATCAATAACATTCAAACAAATTGTATAGAAAAAACAAGTTTAAGACCACAACACAAATGCTTGTTATGTAAAATACCTGGTC